CAATGAAAGACACTTAATGAATGTGTGTTGTGGCCATGTTCAGTCACTGGACACTACTGTGTTTAGCTGCTGATTTGTTGGAAGGTTCAGAGGTTGTGAACTCAGCTAAATTAACATAAATTCGGTTGTTTTTCACTTTCATTTTCACTGAGCAATTTAATCCTGACAGGTGCCAAAAAAAGTGTTAGTGAAAAACGACCAACAGTCATGACAAGGAAAAAGCTGCTCATCTGTGCTGCTTGGCACTGGTGTCTGCTCTAATGGAAATGGAACCCAAAGCCTAAATAATCACATGCAAGTATTTTACTCATTTACTGTTACGGTGCCATGAATCTGGCCTGGCTGCCAGATGAAGATGGGCACGCAAATCCAAACCGACATCAACGGTGAATTAGTCAGTCACAGCAGCCATGTGGGCGCCCAATCCAAACTGGAACTAAAAGCTACAACTCAAGCCTGAGCGTCAGAGCAGGGCCCTCTAATGAGGCAGGAAGTCGTAGCAGTGAGGACAGTATCCAGCTGTGAATCAGTCTCACGGAAGTCCACCAGCGTTAATGGGCTGGAGTGAGAGACCAGCCACACACTGTCAGTCCAGTAGGCTCGGCTAGGCGTGCTGCCGGGATACAGCTGCCGCTCTGGTGGTTAAAATTTAACCAAGAGAGATTTCTTTCCTCTTAAAATAAATTATGCATCACATCATATGAAAGTTTGTGCAGCTTTAAAGAGGTTAGAAACTTTGAAAGGATATAAATTTAGTGCTAGTTAAATGCACTCAAAAGTGCACAGAGAAAACTTTAGATGCTCAACTCTGACTGACTCGCAAATTTTTTTTTATAGTTGCATAATTATAAATAGCAAAATGTACAGAAAACAACAACAACAAAAATCAGTCTCTGCAGGAACTTTGTGCTGTCACATGCTAAGCCTTAACATAGCAACTACAGGTTTTATAACTCTGGTTTACCAATACTTGGTGAGTTCTCTACATGTACACGTCTTACTTGTAATCAAACATTGACAGAATTTATTATGAAATCCTACCAAGACAAACATGTTTGCAGACTAGATCTCCATTTTTGGAGACAATCACAGAAAATCTTGAGATTCTAGTGGGAGTGATAAATATGCAGGCTCTCCTGCAACATCACTCACACACACAAACACAGACAGCCTTTGTTTTGTTTTTCATTTTTCATTACAGCTTAGGGTGGACTTTAAATCTATACCTCCCCTCATTTGAAGGAAAGTAACTCAGGTGCTGCTGATCACCCTTCTCTGTTGCAACTGCCTCCACGCAGCACTGTTTAAGCACAAATGTGCATACAGTAAAGTGTGAAGAATAGTGGAAAATGAAGGGGCTGATGCAGATGCTCAACGGGAAGGCAAAAAGCGGAGGCAGGACAAAGTGAAAATCTGGTATAAAAAAATGAAGAAAACATGCTAAATAGTATAATATGAGTGAGTTTTTCTATCTACTGTCACTGGTCTGTATCTGTTCTGCTTGTGCAATACTTAGTCTGCACATCTCAACCTCCAGCAGGTTCTTCGTCTTCTCTCACAGTTAAAAGTCTAAATCTTGACTGAGACATAACAGCAGTCATGACCTTTTAAACTCAGATCAAAAGTATGCACTTTCAGTGACATCGGGGAGAGGATGAACTCTGAACTGAACTCTCGCAAGCTGGCTAACAAACCTGTGAAAAGTTGGGTTAAGGATATGTCTGGGCCTAGCACCAGATCTTCTGCATCTCCGGTACAGCAGATCTACTTCTGCCTTCATCAGACTTTTATGTTTCAAAAGATATATACAGTAGCCCCCACCACTTTTGCCTGAAGGGAAACCACAGTGTTTACTCCACGCATGGTAAATAAGAACCTCTTCTTGGATCTGTCAGCCCTTCTAGTGTGTGTGTGTGTGTGTGTGTGTGTGTGTGTGCGCGCGCACAGGTTTAACCTCTTTTCTCTTCCTTTTCCCTGACAGTGAACAGTGCCCAGTGGGGATCCCTCTGCAGCTCAAACTTTACAAAAGCCTGGCAAAAACAGCCACTAGTGTTCAGCATCCATCACATATGAACACCTATATGCAGCAGTGATGAGGCTCCTCCAGCAACACTGTAACAAGACCCCGCAATCAAGAGGATGATATTTGCTTTTCAGTGGCGCCTTTCATCCTCTGCCGGGCTTTGGGAGGCACAGAGCCGCTAATGCAGCTATCATCACGTACTTAACGTTATATTCCTATACTCCACCGCAAACCACCTCCCTCTGTTGAAACATTTTTTTCCCCTTTCCACAAGTTAGAGCTGTCACAGCGGGCGGTGACGCACAGGGTATAAAGATATCAGCAAACCTTTGGTGATTATGCCAGCTGAAGCAAAAATGGAAAGGTTTCTGGGAGATTCTAGAGAGGAAAGCCAGACGGCTTTGCACCGGAATCACGGAAAATCCAAACAAAACAAAAGGCACAAAAATAGTTGAAAACAGAGTTAAAAGTTTGCACAGAAAAGGGAATCTGTGCCTGCATATGGTGACAGAATAAAAAGAGAAAAACAGGCCTAGATACCATGATTGGAGTGGCTTCTCCCTAGGGGAGGTGGCCTGTTCAATAAACCTATTTCAGCTTGGTGAGAAGCAGAGCTGTGCGTAAACCAGTGCAACACTACTAATTTGTCAGGAATAGTAAATCTGTGTGACAGGAGGGAATGTGAAGACGACTTGCAAAAACCCGAAATATAAAAACAGAAATGAGTCAAGGGAGAACCTGAAGTTCAGGATGCCAAACATGCTTTGTTTCCACCAACTGACAGTGACGTGAGAGAATAGGGATGACAGAAGACAGCAGGGAGGGGGGGAGAGTGCCACCTATTGGACAAACAACCAGACGTCACTTTACTCACAGCTGACAGTAAAAGAGGATCCATTTAAGACTCTCACTCTCAGGATTTCTGATTAGTCATGTTAAGTCAATAAGCATGGAGGACAAAGTCATTAAAATATAACTCATATACTGAATGTGTTTGAACGTGTCATTTAGAATCAAATTTTAGTTTGAAAGAGTTCATATGTGTATATTTCAAACAAATTAGAAGCCTCTAATTTTGTATATAGAACTATGTGATTATGTGTCTGCCAAAGGATTAAATTAGAGATATTGCACCTGATTTCAAAGCAGACTAAGTGCACAGCGTTAATCGTATTTGTGACATACACTCTTTCACCGCCTGAGGCACAGAAAGGCTCTGTACAAGAGAACCACTGTGTCCCATCCCATTTAGATCTTGCAGCTTTGTCCTTTTGGTGGAATTTCAGCGTCAGGCATAGACACATTTCTACAAAAACATCCTCTCAGATGCCACAGAGTGAAGACTCAAAGTAAGAAATAAGCCTGGGAAATGAACAAAAGATGACTTCTGTTGATTAAGGCTTTTTTTCATACTGCAATGTAGCTTAAAATGTTTTTGATCAGTCTCGTTCCACTGGCTGTCTGACATCCCATTATCTACATGAAAGGAGGATCTGTATGGGACTCTAAGAGCAAAATTCAAAGCAGCAGGGCTGGGTGATATGGCCAAAAATATCATCACAATATGTCTTGATCATTATTGTTCACTATTGATATATGCAGCACAGTACATCTTTGTCAGCACAGGTTGCCTGCATATTGCAATTTTACAGTGAATGTCCTTTATCCAGCTTTAAAAAATCAAGCCATTTCCAATTCAGTAACGTGATCCTGTGCGGCTGTCTGAATCTACTCACTGTCACTAAGCTTTACGTTTCCAACAGCGTGTGGATGTTTTTCCTTGTTTTGGCCCTTGTTTTGGAGATACGGTTATAACCTGAAAATTACTCAACAGTTTACCATTGTTATCATGGGAATTTAGCTTCCTTACAGTTATCAAGACCCCTACACAGGAGCATGTCAGGATGCTTTGGAGCAAAGCAACACTCAGACAGATTTAGGCCTTTTGTTTCTATCTGGCCTTAGTCATAAATTGGCATAAAATATGACTGTCATGCGTTTTCATTCATTTCAATATGCTGTGAAAACCTCATGATACACTAAAACTCCTACTACCTACTCCCTCTACAGCTACAACCACATTAAACACAGAGGGAAGTATAACCAGTACAAACGGCATCAAAATGAACAGTATGGAATCGATTTGGCTACACTATTTGTTCCAGTATATAAACGTGCATGCACATTTGTTTGCTAATAATAAAAGCAGCAACAGAGTCAAAACAATACAAGGGTGAAAAAAAAGAAACAAACACTGCTGAAATAAAGATACTTCATCATGAGTTATGGTTTACTTTTATCTATGCCAAGACACCATGTTTCACAAAAATACATATTTGTAAAGTGATACATCAGCTGTTGGAAGACATAGCAGCAAACGACACACACGAGCTGTGCAGTGGGAAAGATTTTTAATTTCCACTATGCAACTCAGCCTTCACAGCTGCTGTCGACTATATTAGTAGATAACTGGTGGTAACTTATAAATAATTACAATCCCAGAGGGTTGCATCGCATTATATGACATAATATTCTATTATACTTATGATAAAACATAATCACATACTGTTGCCTCCCAATATTCAAAATACACTGTGATATATTTCTCCCTCTATCACAGTAATTACTGATTTTGATTTAAAGGCCTGCATAGCACGGTTCAAGTAGTGTGGTCTGAGGGCATGCAAATGGTCTGCAGCAAAATAAATATTTCAGGATAGTTTAATTTATGTTCAGGGAGAGATTAAATAAAGGAGAATTCTCATCACAGGCTTCACGGCATTTTCTGTTGTTAATAATAATCTACCTTCACAATATCATTAGTCATATCACTCCCTACTTCCAACAGCAGTTTACTACAACAGCCTTCACATCAGGGGCTTCAAAATTGGGGGTTTTGTAGTATTAATTTTAAAAAACTGCTGGGAACATCAGTCATACAGAGTGCATAATCCGGTGTGTTTGGTTGCAGACATACCTAGCATGTTGAAGATAAAGTCCTTGGCTGTGTGGACCTCTAAGGCAGTTTGATCGCCAAACTCCCCCTGCTCCAGTAGTACCAGCTCAGACACCTGTGCCGACAGCTGTTCCAGGGTGGCCCCTGACCGGAAGTCCACCTCGGACAGCTTCTTGGCAGGGGCTGGGGAACGTGGTGCCACCGCACTCATCAGGGACTCCATCGCTACAACCCTATAAGGTGAGACAAGGAAATAGATGTTGTTTAAAGTTTGTTAGTGCACGTGTTCAGGGTTTTACTATCACATTAGTTCTATTTTCATGGTTAATGCAGTCCACACAGGTCCCCTGACGAATGAATTATGCTGTCAAAATGCTGTAATAACTACTGGTTTTGAGGGCTATGATTTAGCATCCTAGGACAAAAAAACAGGGTTCTTTTTTAGCCATTTTTAAGGTGTCTTGCAGCCTGTGTTTAGGTTGATTTAGTGTTGTTGAGCCTTCATATTTTCATTGCTATATAATGCTTGCCTTCCTTTTCAACAACCTTGTGTAAATCATAAGACTTAGGGCACTAAGTGGAGGAAATGTGTGATATCAGGGAACAAGAACATTAGCCTTTAATAGCAGAATATGTGATGCTGATTACAAACGATTACAGACCTGATTAACATCCAGTAATTCAACCTCAAATATTTTGAACAGAAGTAAGTAGTATTAACATGATTAATATGAGCATGTCTTATGCATCTCACCTAAAAAAAACTGTATATAAAACATATATTTCCTGACAGTGACAAAATTTGTACACCTGAGCACCTATTTGACCACATTACTTATTCTACATTAACATGATCATCAAAAATGATCATAAACATGTGCTGTTTGTGAGCCTCAAGTAGGCTGATTTGAGAAAGGAAACCCTAGTTTGTGCCTCTTGTGTTATCAGTGTTTTTTACATTAATGCTTATGTTTGAATCACAAACCACTGAGTTTCTCAGAAATAAACGTACAAACCATTCAGGTTATTCGGCAAAACGTGTGTTACTGCAACACTGACAATAATAAAGTCATTAAAAACTAGAACAACTGAAAGGTAAAGCAAGTCGCGTCTTTCCTAACAGCTTACAATGTACTTTACTTTTGCATAGCAGGACAAGAGTCTTTAAGGATTTAGAGTTATATGAAAGGCTATTACGTCAGTGGGTAGGTTAGCTGTTAAAAGCATTGTATAGTGTGTAACCATTTGCCAACACTGTTAAAATAGTGCGTCCTAAAAGTAGCCAACCAAAAGTTTTAATGTAAACAAAGCCAAGTCGGCCGAAATGACAGCATGGCCTCTGCCCCACTAAACCAGGTCAATTAGCGAGCAAGCTCCCCTGCTTTCTAGCTGCTAAGCTAATAGCCAAACAAACAAATTAGCCAGCCTTCTGTCTGTTAGTTTACATTAGCTAATTGGGTAATTAGCAGTACATAACAAATTAGCCTGGGCACCCTTAGATACATTCACATTACTGTTGTACTATCACTGCTTTGCTACCGTATTATAACAGGCTTGCAGTGACAAGTCTGGTTGAATGCCTCGCCCACAGTCAGCTAATTTCTTTTATTAGCTAATATTAGCCAACTAGCTTTATCATATTAGCATGCTAGCCAGGTGGGAACAGCAGACAAGTGCAGACACACACATCCACGTATACAAACGCGCGCGCGCACACACACAAACACGCACACACATTTATACGAAAATCTATAGATACACATGTAACAGTTGTGCAGTCACCCACATGCATTCAGCTCGGGTCTCGTTAGCTTGCGAATCGCGGATCACAGTGAAATCATTATCTCTCGGGCTAAAACTGTCAAATATCGCAAAAAGGCGCACACACCCTTTACACGGTGATGCGACAGTGTTTCTTCGCTATCTTCTACGGTTACTGTAGTTGTGATCCCTGTGCTTCAATCCACCTTCTTCAGCTGTCATTTCCAACAGGTTCCAGACACCACCTTCCCCCCAGCAACAACGTCCCAGAAATCATGGTCCTATTCAGAGGATCCAGGGGTTAGTAGTATGTGTGGCACGCACGCCCCACATCACAAAACTACAAGCGGATTTGTAAGGCCGGGTTTATGATTAAAATTGTGCCCGTGTTCTTGCAACAAAAGAAAATAAGGAAAAACACATATATGGTAAGGCTAGATTAGGTGGTTTTACATCTGCACAGCCAGTCTTTTGTAATGTAAGTCCAACAACAACCGCGTCCTTCCCCCGGAGGGGGAGGCTGCTGCGTTTGGAAGTGGGTACTCCCACTGTTTATCTGCTACATCCCTGTGGTTAGAGGTAAATTATGCACAGTGAATGCTACACCTTTGCATGTAAAGCAACCCTTATGTGCATGTGATAATATTTTAATTACACTTTAAATGTGTTTATTTAAGAATTCCATCCTCTAACTTTGGGAATACAGTCAAGGGGAGGTGCAGACCTGTGTGAGGTTCAAAACAAAGTCCTATATTTGTAACTATTAGAGTTTTGTGTGATGTGTGGGAATCTTCATTAGCCAGGAAATTGTAGGTGGTGGTAATGGTTGGGATTTTTGCATAATTACTATTAAACACATTTAATATAGTCTAGACTAATAATGATGTGAGTTTATAGAGCGTTATGACTGTAATTTTAGAACGTACTTATTAGTAGTGCTAATTATTGTATGTCTTTTTCTTTCTTCTTACTTGAGTATGACGAACTTAGTCCACGCCCACTAAAATGAAGAACAATGGACACCTGTTGGCCAGGCTGGGTTTGCTTTATCTGGCTGGTACAGTACATGAGATTTTATTCATAGGCCTATACAATATATCAGTTAGTACTGTGATCTTACAAAATAAATAGCAATTGCAATAATTTCAAAACATAAAACAAGATTGCATTCATCTTTATAATAAAAATAAGTTTTACAAAATTCAGTATTTAAAATGAACTAATTTCAGTGCTAATGTACTCTGGAATTTTATGGTTTTAGTACAAAAGTGGTATATAGTTGTTTTTTGTTTTGGTTGATGCTTCTTCAGTTCTGACTGACTGATTGTTGGAGAGCCCCAGGTACTGAGCTTTTGTGGAGTCATGAGTCAAGTTGTGGAAGGGTGTTAAAGTCTGATAAGACACTGATCACCTCCTCTTGTTTAGTGACGGTTACTCCAGTCTGATATATACTACATGGCTTTTTTCACTCCTCTTTCAAACCATCTGTCTTCTCTGGCCAGGATGTGAATGTTGCTGTCTTCAAAGGATGTGTCCCTTGTCTCTCAGATGCAAATGGCCTGCTGAATCTTGTCCTGAGGAGTTTGCTCTCCTGTGTTGCCATATGCTTGTGAAGCAGTTGTTTTGTGTCTCCAGTGTACAACTCCTGGCATTTCTTGCTGCACTGAACTCCATATAATACTGTACATACTGAATCTCCATTTATGCCAGGGTGTTTTGTCCTTAGGGTGGACTAGCTTCTGCCTCAGAGTGTTGCTGGGATTGAAATGCACAAGGATATGGTGACTGGTGAATCTTCTTGAGTTTCCCAGATACTTCAGCAACACACTTTTATTAAAGTCATGCTGTTTTTATGGCGTCAGCTGAGAGTGGCTGCTCATACCTCACACTACAGTCACACACCAGCAGATGCATGTCTGCATGACTTCTACAGCCTCTGCTGTTAGCTGCGCTCTCCAGCTAGAAGGAACCAAACGGTCTAAACACAGTGTTTATGTGGGGCAGCTGGACTAGTTCAGCATATAAACATACACTAAATTTCTGTTTGGTGCCCATTACATGACCTATGTATGGATTTCCCTAATGACAGTGCTAGTAACAAAAAACAAAACAAAACAAACAAAAAATCCTCTTGTGATGTGCCTCTTTAGGCATTTGGTGCCCTAGGCAACATGTTTTATGGACACAGGTGAACAGTTATCCCATATCCTTCAATGTAAACCTTCACAGTGTCATTAGAGAGGTTTGTTAAAAACAGTCAGATCACACAGCACAAACCACTACCACCATTTACCATTTCCCAGTTGACTAATAACAATTCCCAGGCATTGCATTACTCTGTGAGATGGCTGCTGCTGATAGTGGTTATGGTGATGTGGTAACAATGGCAGCTCCCCCTGGTGTCATCCCTTTAGCTCAGCTCCTCTGATGCATGACCGTCATCACTGTACTGCAGATTAAAGTGGAATGATTGGAAATAAAACTGTGAAAAGGGGGCTGTAGTGACGGGGCCTCAGTGTGCATTGAAGTGAGGGAATAATCTATCTGAGAGGTGTGATAGCGCTGACCATCATTTAAGTGGCTTGAAAAGGTCATCTGGGGGACCGGGATATGGAAGGGCTTGGGACGGCCAGTGCAGCCATTCCGCTTCACTGTGCGAGGCGCCACCGCCTAATTGATGCCTCTGAGAGAGGATTTGGCACTGCTCTGGTGTGTATTATACAGCATGCACTTCAATATATGGCCTGTGCGTGTCTGTGGGTAGATATTTGTGCATCCCCTGGTCTGTGTGAATTAATGGGAGGGAGCTCTGGGTAATCATGTAAGATGACCTGGGTAGTTTTTCATTTCAGGTCTTCAAGAGAGGATCTGGGGAGCAAGTCTTTCTACAGTCAGCTCGTCAACTCCTATAAGCTCTCTATCACCTTACTCGTTCATGACGGATGACTCTCACACAATCACTCTTTTCATCTTTGACCAAAACAGACTCAGACCAAAAAAATCAATGGAACAAGGAGCTGTTTCTCACACAGAAGAAGCTGATGTAATTAAATTCATCTGCAGGGGAAAATGAGAAAAGGGCAAGTGAAGGAAAGGTGGGAAAGTTTGACTAAATAATATATTCTTTAGTGGAAAAATGAAGAAGAGGAGAGCTTGTGAAGTACAAGGGAAATCTCTGGAGGTATAATTAACAATATTTGCTGTTAGTATCTGTGCTTCTTCTTTCTCTGATGCTCACAAAATTACAGAGACAGAAGCAAAACCCCAGACTTACTTTATGCCAGCGGGTTTGTTTCTGTAGACTGTCTTGCTATATGGTGATATACAATATCTAGAATATAAAACACGTTCTCATTGCTTGGAAATTTTTATGTTTTACAGTTTTACAACATTGATTTAAGGGGGATTCAATGGGCTTTTTTGACACTGATCATCCATTCCTTTAATCCTAAATCACCACTGGTGCAGCCATTAGGCCTTCTTCACTAAATATATTTTCATAAATCACAGTAGGAAAAGCTGCTACCATTTTAGATCCTGCTTTTGTGCATGTTGGTTCACTGTCACACTGTCACAGCTTACTAGGGCACATAAAGCCATCATTAGTGTTATCAGTGACACCTGTGCTTTGAAAAGGAACATATTTTAAGGAACTCTACAAAAAAGACAAAAACAAAAAAGTGAACACTCACCTACAGGCAATTTAGAGTCGGCAGAAACAACCTGTGTGTCTTTGGACTGTTTTTGTAGGTTAGTTTAGGCACATATACCTTCTCAAAATACAAGATAATATAGAGAATGGTATCACCTGTCATGACACCCAGCAGATTATGATGCCATGGCCTAAGACCCACTGCAAGCCCCAGTGATAGGTCAAAACATGAGTACCGGGCTTCAATGGCAAGGCTCACCCAACATTTGGCACGTTTAACTGTTAAATCACATTAAATCTACTTTAAAGGCCCTGTAAACTTAGTGCTGCAGAAAAATATTGTAAGGAAAAGGAGCAATGTTCAGATATTGTACATAATGATAGGACTGAATAGTTTTGCAAGAATTACCTGGGATGTCACGGTAAAGGAAATTAGGGATAACAAGTGTCTCCCTTTATTTCACTTTCCATTTCTCCATCTCTCATGTGCTCACACATTAAAAGGCCTCTGCCAGAGCAGAACGTCGTGATCTAGTTAATGGACTTTAACACAGAGGTGGCAGCAACAGGATCCACACATCTGAACATCGGCTACTGAGGAAAGAAAGAATAGCTCTGAAATGAGACTGGCTGTGTGAAACTGGTCAAAATTAGCTCACATCTTGTCAGAATCACCTGATCTTCTACTCACGTATTTAACACGTAGCTGAAAATTTGATGATGGCACTTCGAGCATGCATCCAACAGTGAGGAACACTAACTTTCAGTCAGGTGTCTCCCATAAACTTTAAAGTCGTGAGTCAGAGATGCATGACTGGGTGTCAAAGCTTTCTGTGCTGTGTGATCACTTGGTCCTGGAACAGCAGAATACTTCCTAATAACTACTTAATTCTAATAAGGACTTTGAGTTGTTATCACTGGCAACGTGTTCAGTCAATAGCGCCTTGTCTTCTGAGCAAAGCCTCGGCTCAGATGCCAATCCCAGCAAATTGACCTGGAGATTTAAGCAGCTGTTTTGTGAACATCCCCATTGGTGGGCCTACAGTCAGTAAATTAGTGTTTCAGTGGATTTTACGTTCAGTTTGAATGCAGAGGGTTAGGAACATGGCCCCAGGTAAGGGGTGGCCACGGGTAATGAACAGCTTTTGTGTTCTGTCACCAAGAGGATCAAGGCCATGAAGACATTCAGAGCACCACGAGAGATCATTTCTTTCACCTGCCACAGATGATGAATCCTGGGGGTTTACTCTGAGGATCCCTGTTCAACCAGCACTGGCATTAATCAGTTGTGATCAGTTTGCATTTTTGTGTAAAACAGCCAGATATACAAGACGGCCCTTTAGGGAGTCTGCGGAGCGCTAAATGGCTAATCCAGTACTGTCCAAAAATGGTAACTATATGATAAAAAAAACAACATAGAAACAGGCAGATTCTAAAGGTAACTTCAGGAGACAACGAAATCAGTAGGATGTACCTTGCATTTTATGTTGAATGTTTCTTAAATATGTCTGGATTAAAGCAATTGACTAGTAACACAGACCAAAATTTCCATCCCTTAAACCATATGTAAAAATCTATAGTCTCTTTTGCGTAGCAGTGCTTTAATTGCTCTTCCTCTTAGTCGTAAGGAAACAATCTTAGAGCTGCTACTTTAAAACCAGATGGATCATTAGCCTGGTTACAGTTTTCCATAAGTTCATTTCCAATGTTTCTAACCTGAAAACAATTCTGTGCTGTGATCATACACAAATCAATAACATGCAACTGTGAGTTGACAAATGATACAGGATCTTATAGTAAGATTTATTGTGTTGGATTGCTTTTATCAACATGTTTGTCCAGGATGTAGGCACAGCAGATTCATGTAATATGGATACTCACTGTTGAAATTAGGTCTTTATCATATACAGTACATTACATAAATCATCCATGTAGAAGAACTAGGCAGCACAACAATGTGTAAGAGTTTATTATTATCAATTTAAGTGTTTAATTTGAAATCCTTCATATTCTTTCCTTTATTTATGCACACCAATGTATAGCTTTGGGAATTTTATTAGCTCACTAGTAATTTTCTTTTTTCCTCAGTACAAAATTGGCATTCTATTGAAAATGTTACATGGCTGAAAAAATACACAAGAAGTTGTATTCAATGCTTATCCATTTTAGTCAAAGGACACCAGTCAGAAACAGACAGTAATGGTAGAAAAGTGATAATCCTTGTGTGACCTTATCTCCTGTTGACACCCACAACCTGGAGCAGGGAGCGGTTAGATGGCTGACATAACTCGGCACTTTGAAGCTCTCAGCCAACTGTCACAGGCTCTCTAGTTCATCCATTAGCAGTCTGACAGTTTAGTGTCACGTAGTGGCCCTCGAGCTGTTACACTTCAGAGAATCATGGCCAGCCAGCCAGCGATCATGGATATACCTCCAATGGGAGCCACTTTGGTTAGACCAGGGTCTTTTGTCAGGGCCTGGTAATACAGCGGGCCACAGAACATCCCCATACCCGCTATTAGGAGGGCACCAGCCTGTATAGTGGAAGAGAGGGGAGGCACATGAACAACATTTATATGTCCTTGTTTGTAGCGAAGGATTGAATATACTTCAAAATAAATCAGATTTGCCATGCTTTCTGGAAACTTCTCCTATTACTTGCTAAGCTACAGTAACATTGTTGGGTAGTGGGGTAATATGGTTGCTCAAACTAAAACTGGAGAAGTGACTGTTAGCTCAATCCAAAAACAAAGGATGTAAGTACATTACAGGTGTAGGTTAACGGTTTTGTCCACTTGTTGTTATCGAAAACATTACAGGGGTATTAGCTACCATCTAGCTCACAGCTAGTTTAGGGATTATATGGTGAGTGTGCTTCTTTGTATAGCCTATGCATAGAAAATATATAACTACCAATTTTATTAGTCATAATGTAAAAACACACAGACACATGTTTGTATAGCTGTCTTGGTGAGGACATTCATTGACATATTGCATTCCCTAACTAAATGCCTAACCACAACCCTTGCCCTAATACCGAACCTAACTGTCGATAATACACAATTAAATGTGCCAAAAATGGGAGAGCATTCCTATGGAAGCTCAGTATACAAGTTAAATGATGTTTACCCGTTATTTGGCCCCAAAGAGTGGGGTGTCAGGTCATGCCGACATAAATCCTCACAATAAGCAACACCATTTTCCAGACCTAACCTACCCTGAACACAAAGTATCCCTTATCCCTGAACCCTGTCCTCACCCAAGCAAAAAGCAGAAATGTGGCTAGACACACAGGCATCTGCACTGTATTTGCTCAGGCTAAGGTTAAACAACCCTAAAACCAAGTCTTGACCATCAGACAGCCCTAAGAAAGTGAGGACCAGCCAAAAATGTCCTCACTCCCATGATTTAAAATTCAAACCAGTCCCCACACTGCTGGTCATACAAGTACAAACACACACACATAACCCTTAAACAATTTCATTGCTCCATTGCTAGCTACAAGGCACAGTTTGTTCAAAACAGCTCTGTAATTACAGCCTAAAGGAATGGCAATTTCCACAGAGGGGACAGACAGGAAATTGCATTATCACATTAGTTCAGTTTTAAAGGACACACTCAGATGCATCCAGCCCTGAGAGGCGGTATAGGATGCCATACTCACTACTGCAGGTTTTCCAGAGGAGGCAGCACCCAGCAGGGCCAGACTGTGGTAGAAATGGTACTTGTTGGCAGTTTCAAATAGCTGGAGAGGCAGACACACAGAGACAGAGCTTTCAGAGAAAACACTTAGCCCTGTCCAGTCAGTTTTCATTTATTGAATGACTAATATGGTCTATGACAATGTCAATGAAGTAGAAACTATTAAGAAACTGCAAAAGGTCTGAGAAAAGAAAAAAACTATTAGAATTTACTATTCAATGTGCTCTTTACTTACCTCTCTCTGGTAGTCATCTGGGTTACTCTGTTTAAAACCTAAAAGAGAAATGTGGAACAGAGAAATACATAATGCAGTCCATTATGTAAAATGACGCAAATATCATGTTAACTTCAATGGCAATCAACAGACTTCACTTTATGTTTCCCTTGAGTTCCCCAGACACTGTTTTGTAAATGATGTCTTTATGGATCAAAAACTCCCAAATGTCACGAAGCTACGCGTTAGTTTTCACGTTTGTAGTGCTGGTGAACTCTGGCACAGTGGGCCAGTGGTGATAGCTGCTCTTTGCACATTCTTTCACTTGTTCAAACACACTAGTGCAATCAGATCTCAAGATACATAGTAGTCAATACAGTTATAAAATGAGCCAGCCTATGTCTTAAATACCCCAACAAATACTAGCCACTTTTACATTCATCTATATCCAGTAAAACACCAATTTATGCTCGTGATCCTAGATTTGTCATTGACCCGATTTTAACTAAGTTTTCTTCTATATGACGCACTCTGTGGTCCGGGTCACCTTAATTACGACATTGTTTATTTTACCAAGAATAATGCACCGTTTGGTGGATCGTTTGACTGCCGAATTAACCAGCAAGATATTCAACATCAGCAGCTGGTGTTTGTTTTTCTTTTAGAATGATTCAGTTGTGTCCGTAAGGACGACAGTCTTAAATTGCTATCTTTTGGGACGGAGGCTGGATTAGAAAGCGTTCCCGTGAGTCCTATGTTAGCTTACAATAACAGAAATACTCGTAAATGATATGATCATGTTGAGCCCCTACCGTGAGCCCCATATGCCCCAGCTGACACTGCCGAAGCCCCCGACAGAGCTGCTAACCTTCGGATGACAACAGAAGCGTTCATGTCTACTGCGTGTGTGAAAACGACAGGCGGAAGACTAACCGTGATGGTGCGTTCACTGTCCTTTTGTAAGTTCCTTCTTCTGAAAGTCCGCGTTCACGGACTGTGGCTTTCCCACACACATAGACTAAATACAGTAACAAATAAAAACTGGAACAAAATGGAACAGGAAAAATTATACACTTTATCCCAACAAAACTGTGCTACCGAGAGGTGAAGTATGGGAATGTAACTTACAACAGCAACTATTGAATTTTTATTTTTAACTAGGCTTATATTATAGGCTATATATTAGCATAATAGGCCTATTATCTCGTATATTTGCATACATTAATTAGGCCGCTTATTAATTTTTTTAAACATTTAATAAATTCTATTCATATAACTTTTAAAACTGAAAATATATCATGTTCGAACTGATTTTAGCTCCCTCACATCTAAGCTCTTGGACAGGCTATTACGCCACATTTTCGACTGAACTGTATGTTGCTCTACTCAGATAGCTGGTCGACTTTCAAAGTGTTCATGTAGGCCCAGTATTGCAGAAGTTATTGTGCACCCTTGGTAAAAAGCAATTAATTTTGTAATTATTATGTTATAATAAAACAAAGGCTCAAACTGCAATACACTGACCTCCATTTTGCAAATGCAAAAGAAAATAAAACAATAAATTGTCTTGACTTACTCTACATCTGCTTTATTTAAGACTACTCATCTTAAATGCATTATTCATGGCAGGGCTGAATTATAACAAGTAGCAAAAACATCCATCCATCCACCCATTTTCTAAACCGCTTAGTCCCAAACGGGGTCACGGGGGGCTGGAGCCAATCCTGTAGCAAGAACTTGCAAGAATAAATTTTAGAAGCTTTTTATTTTATTGTCATTGTAACATTGTGACACGTACAACATTTAGTTTGCCCTCAGATGGGTTGCACAGCTTTAGAAAAAGGCCCCTTTTCAGCATCACTGCATCCACCAAATTGCCACATAACACTAAATGATAGGCTCAGCAGTGCAAAGGATGCATTAGTGTGCAGCACCGTGCAATTTGTCCATCACTGTAATATGGAAAATGCAGGTGCATTTCTCTACCTTAGTGAATTATGGCTAATGTTTGATGTGTTTTCCTGCCAGCAGAGGTGTTTAGGACTAACGCTGATCTTACTCAATAAAAAAATAAATAAAAATACACAAATCCCTGCAAAAAGCCCACCAAAAGGGGGTGCTGTATTGCTTTCTAATCAGCCAGAGTTTGCCCAGAGAGAGTGTATGCAGGGCCTGTCTCTGTGTGTATATGCACAGGGGGGCTTCTTCCAATTATTATACTGAAATTACACAGGGCCACACTGCATTACTGGAGAGTCGCTAAACCGCTGTTTCCGCCGAGCCTTGTCCTTAGCTGACTTTGACACAGCATTAACGCAATGCATACAATTAACACATTTTAATGACCATGTAGCTAATTACAAATAAGCCTTATGAGTCACAAGCCTTCTTCAGCAACTGTGAATCAAACCTGTCCCTGCTACAGCCAGTCTTGATCCAAGTCTGTCTCCATCATATCATGCATTTGTAGACTTCCCATTTGGTTTGATCTGCTGCACCTTCTGCATGATCGGTTGTGTACAGACAGATGCTTGCTTAGTCTGCACAGAATCCACTCTCACATAAACACTGGTCATTTTCATTCTGGCCCATGGCAGATGAGACAGCAAGGACAACAATAAAGTATGGCTTTACATCTTGCTTTCACAGACAAGCAGCAAATTATCTCTAAGTCCCAGCAGCTGTGTGCTGTGAGGTTCCTCCAAGAGCCTATATCCATCTCACTTCAGCCAGCCCGCCTGCCTGTCCTCTCCTCTCCTCTCTAGTGACTGCTTCACTCTCTAACAAACCTTACTGTGTCTGAGTAGAAGCATGTGCATGTAGTGTCTGGTTGTCTTAGATTGTTTGCCTTCAGCCTGTCTTGTCATGATTGAGCTCCCGTCTGAGGAAGCATGTGGCTCCTGTGAAAACAGGCAAGAACACAACGAGCAGATTATCGCTTGTTTTAAATAAACTGACTTTGTTGCAAATGGGAACAGGTAGCTTGTCTTGCCGCTGACACATTAACATGACAGTTGTTGTTGATGAACACTTTATTTCATACTAGTGCAGACTTTTGCTTTACAAGGCATGGTGTGACAGTGACAAAGAAAAAAGGATTGTCACTTCTTTGGCATCCATTTTTCCACATTTACACACCTTGAATCCCAGTTCACTTTCAACTTAAAATACTGCCATGGGTTGTTTTGAAAATCCAATTTTCTGTTCTTTTTAGCAGTATTGCTTGGTATAACTGGTACTGATGAACCTTTGCTCTGCATGAGAATTTTAATACGAAGCAAATAGAAACTTTTTGTTTTGTCAACATAAAGATTGTTTTGTGTTTCTTTAGCAGGTAATAAGACACATGGAAACACTGCAGCCAGACCCCAATGTTGTCAGTATCCACACTCTGAATGATGCTTTCTAAATTGAAAAACTTACAAAAAAATAAATAAATAAATTGAAAACAGGATGGCCCCATCTTGCAAGAAAGAAATTCTCTTTTGTGTGATGACAGCTTCACCTGCTGGGTGGCGTGCCCCCTCCCAGTGATACTGAGATTTAAAAAGAACCCAACATTTTTGAAATCCTCGATTAACCGTGATGTGTTTTGATGGTTGCAGCCCTTTGCTGTCTTCGGCCCCTTTTGAGATGCCACAGCCAATTATCTATTTGTTGGGGCACTTTGATGTCTCTGAGATATTTAGTCACAAATGTATGTATTGTGCCGCGGTGTCACAACTATTCATGCTCCAGCTCTGTCACTCGTCCACGTCATTACATCCCTTTCAGCAAAGAGGAAAGAATGAGGGGAAAGCAGATGGAAGGGAGGCAGAAAGGGACAGAAGAGACAGGCCTGTTGAGTGACATTTTGTCTGGGTGTCCAGGCTATTGTGTGCTAGAGGAGACAACACCAGTCACTGCTGCACAAACACTCAAACAAAGTTGACCAAAACACCCTCAGGTACATACATATGTGAGTATTTGTCATTTGGCATATGTGAGTATATGTGAGTATTTGTCACATAGGGACAGAAGAGACAGGCCTGTCGAGTGACATTTTGTCTGGGTGTCCAGGCTATTGTGTGCTAGAGGAGACAACACCAGTCACTGCTGCACAAACACTCAAACAAAGGGTGTTTGACCAAAACACCCTCAGGTACATACATATGTGAGTATTTGTCTCCATTCTCATGTCAACGCTGAAAAATATTGAATGCTTTCAGCAAAACATGTGCAAACATTCAAACAGAGGTGGAATGTAATGAAATATGTTTACTCAAGTACTGTACTTTAGTACAATTTTGAAGTATCTTTACTTGGAGATTTTAATTTTCTGCTACTTCATTGTTCAGTACATTTTAGACACTTTTTACTCCACTACATTTATTTGATAACTAGCTACTAGTTATTTCTCAGAATCTGTATAACAGAACAAAATTCTGTATAATCATAAGACTTTATTGATCCCCGGTGCGAAATTCACACCAGCAGTAATTCAAATTACCAGCATATAACATAGATAAAATTAGCTCCACCTTTACCAGCTGCAACATTTAATATGATGTACACAATAATGTGTCAATAATTATAATCCAATTACAAATATACATAAATGTAAAATGTGCTATTCTGCATAATGAGTACTTTTACTTTTGGCACTTTGAGTATACTTTGATGTTAAATGCTTTTTGTGCTTTTACTTAAGTAATTTCTGAATGCAGGACTTTTACTTGTGACAGTATTTTTACACTGCGATATTTCTTCTTTTACTGGAATAAAGAATCTGAATACTTCTTCCACCACTGTATTCAAACTTATTACTATGGTATTTGAACTAAATGACTGTCTTCTTAATACCAGGTTGTTTATCCCCAGCATTTATGCCCACACACAAACAAAAACACAGGCATGCACAAGCATAAAATCTCAAATATGTATACACTCGCACAAAGTTGTGCTTCCAGCAGGCTCCCCAGCTAGGGGCAAGCGTAATTAGCAAACTCATTCAGCTCATCTGCATCTCTCTTCAAAGGAGATCAATGCAAATTTGGCATATGTGAGTATATGTGAGTATTTGTCACATAGGGACAGAAGAGACAGGCCTGTCGAGTGACATTTTGTCTGGGTGTCCAGGCTATTGTGTGCTAGAGGAGACAACACCAGTCACTGCTGCACAAACACTCAAACAAAGGGTGTTTGACCAAAACACCCTCAGGTACATACATATGTGAGTATTTGTCTCCATTCTCATGTCAACGCTGAAAAATATTGAATGCTTTCAGCAAAACATGTGCAAACATTCAAACAGAGGTGGAATGTAATGAAATATGTTTACTCAAGTACTGTACTTTAGTACAATTTTGAAGTATCTTTACTTGGAGATTTTAATTTTCTGCTACTTCATTGTTCAGTACATTTTAGACACTTTTTACTCCACTACATTTATTTGATAACTAGCTACTAGTTATTTCTCAGAATCTGTATAACAGAACAAAATTCTGTATAATCATAAGACTTTATTGATCCCCGGTGCGAAATTCACACCAGCAGTAATTCAAATTACCAGCATATAACATAGATAAAATTAGCTCCACCTTTACCAGCTGCAACATTTAATATGATGTACACAATAATGTGTCAATAATTATAATCCAATTACAAATATACATAAATGTAAAATGTGCTATTCTGCATAATGAGTACTTTTACTTTTGGCACTTTGAGTATACTTTGATGTTAAATGCTTTTTGTGCTTTTACTTAAGTAATTTCTGAATGCAGGACTTTTACTTGTGACAGTATTTTTACACTGCGATATTTCTTCTTTTACTGGAATAAAGAATCTGAATACTTCTTCCACCACTGTATTCAAACTTATTACTATGGTATTTGAACTAAATGACTGTCTTCTTAATACCAGGTTGTTTATCCCCAGCATTTATGCCCACACACAAACAAAAACACAG